TCAAAGTAATGTCGGTGTCGTCAGATGTTAGCTATACGAATAAATAACCATTCCTTGGTGATCGCTAAACAAACGCCCATGCAAATATCCCACGACTTCGTTTTGCATATTATTTCGAAGCAAGTTTGAAAACAAATATTGCCAACTCGAGATAAAAATGTTCAGTCTCTCAGAGTCTCTGAAAGCGAGACTCGAGTCTCTCTGGTCTCGCTGAGAGAGACTGTCAAAAAAAAACTGTTTAGCGTCTCTGAACGAGAGACTCGAGTCGCTCATAGAGAGATCCTTATTTCGTATCCAGTCTCTGAACGAGAGACTCGAGTCGCTCATAGAGAGATCCTTATTTCGTATCCAGTCTCTGTACGAGAGACTCGAATCTCTCAATAAGTGGTGTCTCGATAGGCATGGTTAAAATTTTCTAAAAGTTCAACATATTTCAGAGATTCCAGTCTTTCTACGAGAGACTCGAGTCTCTCAATTTTTCAGTTTTATTCATTCAGTCTCTCTGTGAGAGACTTGAATCTCTGAATTAACAATTTTGTCGTTCGAGTCTCTCATATAGAGACTGTGAGAGATCCATAAAAACATAGAGACTGTGAGAGACGCTCTCAGAGACGGTGAAAGACTCTGGAAGACTGAGAGACTGGAGAGAGACTGAAAAGTTTTGTCTAGGGAAGTATTTTCATTTTACAAATGCTTTGTCCTATGAAAATAAAGCAATTTACAATTTTCCCAAAATTGCTTCATTTTAAATTAACAAAAAAAAAAAGGAAATAAGAAAAATTGAAAGAAATAACTTTAAGAATTCTGAGTAAAAATAATAGGCATGTTTAACTAGAATTGATAGATAATACTTAACAAAAATATCAAGGTGGCATTTCATACATTTAAAATAATTTTACATTATCAAATAAAGTTAATAACTGAATAATAAATTGGCTTTGTATTTTCCTAAGACATGCATCACGTATTGCATATTACATTATTTTCAGAAATGATTTTAAAATTACGAAACATTGCGGTTAAACATCACATTAGATAAAATATCCAATTATATGAAAAGATATTTTGTTATTTAAACACACAATGGCACAGTCGTTTTGTTTACAGATTGACTCAGAATGTTGTCATAAAGAAGAGACATACCAATTTAGAAATACTCATTCGTTGCTCACAATTATTTTATTCTACTTCCTTAATTTGAAATGAGAAACGTTTTAGTTTTATAAATTACAAAAATAATTTTAAATATTTTCAAAACTAAAATGAAATTACAACGGTCAATTAAATTGACTTTCTTAATGGTTACAAAGTGGTCGTTTTCTGAAGAATGCCATTATGACTTTAAAAAATGTTATTTATTATGAATATTGTTACAGTAGAGAATAAAGGGCATTAGTTGTAATAATACCCTAGTGCTTTTATTGTCCAAAAATGTGCAATGGAAAATAATTTTATTCTGCATAAAGTCTTTATGAGAGAGATTAAGTAGTAACATTCTAACTGGACTACAACGATAGAACCCAAACAATAGCCCTAGACAAAAATTTTCAGTCTCTCTTCAGTCTTTCAGAGTCTTTCAGCGTCTCTGAGAGCGTCTCTCACAGTCTTTTACAGTCTCTCAGTTATTGCCTAGGTGTTTTTATGGATCTCTCACAGTCTCTGTATGAGAGACTCGAACGATAAAATTGTTAATTCAGAGATTCGAGTTTGAATGAATAAAACTGAAAAATTGAGAGACTCGAGTCACTCGTAGAAAGACTGGGATCTCTGAAATATGTTGAACTTTTTAAATTTTAACCATGTTTATCGAGACACCACTTGTTGAGAGATTCGGGTCTCTCGTTCAGAGATTCGAGTCTCTCGTTTAGAGACTATACAAAATGAGGGTCTCTTTATGAGCGACTCGAGTCTCTCGTTCAGAAACGCTAAACAGTTTTTTTGACAGTCTCTCTCAGCGAGACCAGAGAGACGAAGACTCGAGTCTCGCTTTCAGAGACTCTGAGAGACTGAACTTTTTCATCTCGGGAGTTTTCTCGGAATACTCCTGCTTAGAGTAAATTAAAAAGATAAAAAGACGTGAACTTTAGTAGTTTCTGTTGTCGAATGAGACTCAAAATCTACTTACACGTAGACTCCTTTTTGAAAATTTTGGGATTGCTAGCGAAGAACTAGATCAACAGTTTCACCAAGATGCGAAAGAAGTGGAAAGTAGATAGCAAAGTCAGATTAAAATAAATCAAATCGCTAACTACAACTCGAACGAATACACCTCATATTTTTTTATATCTCTTTATAATTTAGCTTTTTAAATATTTCTAACGTGATGAACATAAATTCAGATTTAATATATGGACTACAAAGCGCCTTAAAATGGCTAGAGAAACGGAGAAAGCTCTTTATGGTCAAATATTGCAAGTTTGCATGTGTGTGTCACTTTATTAAACAGTTTTTTTGACAATCTCTCTCAGTGACACCAGAGAGACTCGATAAGAGACGGAGACTCGAGTCTCGCTTTCAAAGACTCTGAGAGACTGAACATTTTTATCTCGAGACAAGCAGTTTGAATATTTTATGAGTCCTTGTGTTCTGTTTAATTTTTTATTTGATTAAACACATACATTTACCAAATCATCCGCTCCACAATGCATTTTATTACAATTAAACTGCGGAATGCCGCGATTTGAAAAACTTCCTGATGCCCCACAACTATCCAGCCTTGCAGAATTCTCTTGCACTAATTTAGTAAATCATCGTTGCGTTTCAATTCGAATTCCAACGATGGAGGAAAATATGCCTTGTGTTTTTGTTTCACCAACAATTTATTTATAGGCCATTAATGGGAGTTGAACGCAAAGTATGACGCGTCAATAATGCCGCTTTGCGAATCCCTTGTAAGAAACTATAGGTGCATTTGGCCTGCAGCCAAAGTAGCTTCATATTAAGTACACAAAAGGTTTTCATTACGAACTTATCCATCACTTTTAACAAGCCATAATGACTATCCATCACCTAATCTGAAATGTATGACAAAGCATAAAGCTGCCTACGAACAATTTTTTGATACACTAGTTATACTCGTACACTCAACAACACTTAGCCAACATACAGATACTTATAACACAATCTCAGGAAATCTTTGTAGATTATATACAAGAACAAAAGAGAATGCGCTTGGAGGAAGAAAGATACCTCTTTTTTTAGTCAATTTCTACAACTATAATATACGATAATACTCAGAACTTATGCGATTATAGATAGCCCGATTAACAAGCAAATTATCTTGACCTTGTATTCCACTAAAAGAGTGGGCGGGGGCGAAAGGGTTAAGGCTCAGGGGGAGGAGGTTAAAAACAAATAATAACAAAGAAACTAATTTAACCTAACCTAAATCTAATTAATTCCTTATTCATACCTATAAAGATATTTTGGATAGTTATATATGCATTTGAAAAATTTGAATAAAAAAATGTTACCCTAATACAATAATGACCACTGTGCCTTTGCCGAAGAAGATGGCATGTTCTTAAAATAATATTTACCTTTTCGAAAATTCAAGAACTCATATTATTTGCAGACACTTTCCTGATTCTTGTTACATTCATTTACATTAGAGATTTTTGCCATTGTGGTTAGAGTTGACAGATATAATTAACACATTTGTTTGTCGCCATGTTTGAAGAAGGACTTTAGCGAGCAAGGAATTTTGCAAAGAGACAGTGAACTATTGAAACCGTTTTCATTAAAAAATGTAAATACTGAAAAATTGATGGTAAATTTGTTTACTATTATAACTTCTTCCTACGCTTTAGAAGAAAAACTTAAAAAAAAAGCGGACATAAATGAAAGAAAATGTAAATGTACCTAATATTTATTTGGACAATGCAATTTACTAATTTTTTGGACCAATTAGCCCTTAACAAATCATAAACATGTGGTAAATTTGATACGATCCTGTAGTTACAATTAGTCGAAGATTTTTGGTTATTAGGGGGAAAACTCGAAAAAACTCCGAAATTACCAACTAATATATCCAAAAATTATTATTATCTTCAGGTAGTGCTGACAAAACAGACTTTTGTAGTTTATTTTTGAAAATAAAGCAGTAAATTTGCAACTTCTTTGTAATANTACGAATTCAAATTTTTCTTCTGTATATTTGGTTTAAACGGTTTAGTTGAAAAATTAGTTTTACTTATGGTTCTGAAATTTGAATGCACCTATAAAAACTAATGCTTTCAGAATTTTCCATCACTTAAGTCTATACTGTTGTAATGCTAAAACATTTAAGACGTTAAGGAAAATTCAAAGGAGCAATTCTCTTTTTGCATGGAGAGAACGTTCAATCTTGAATTTTCCAGAATTTTCTCGGAGTAACTTCGCGTTTCGTACATTCGACTTTTGGGAATGTCGAATAGTTTACGCAGTGGTAAATAGCATGAAAATCTGTTCAACAGCTTTTAAGTTATATGTGAGCAAAAGGAGGGGGCACAGTTAAGTTACAGATCTTCAGTGTTCACATTATAAAAAATTTCTTTATTTGAACCCATTTTCGAATTTTTGAAAAGTTCGATAATTTTACTCTTTTTTCCAGGTATTCCAGAGAGAGTATTGATCAGTGAAAACTATTCTGAAGATTCGTGGTTTCATAAAGTTGACAGGACGATCGTATAAATCAAATTCATAACATTGGATCCAAGTTTTAAGGATTACTAAAGCCTACGGAATATTAGTAAGTAACGCGCAAGCATCATATTTTGGTTCTCAGTCTTCGTAAGTAAGTAACGAAAGGGTTTATATTATTTCCCCATTGAATCTCGAAGGTTTTTCCAGCTTTTTCCGAATATGTTTTAAGTTTACTCCTAAAATATTTCCTTTTGAAATACGGAACCCTAAAAACATTTCATACTCACAATCTCGCCAAAGAATTACTGTTTAGATATTACAGATACATGCTGGAACATTTAGCCATAAATAAAGCTCATTATATGGTAAATTTAAACCTCTAGTATACACGAAGCTGCTGCAAATCAGCGTCATCGTGTAATCCCAGGCTCTAGGATTTTTTGTTTCCCGAAGGCCGGGTCGCGGCTGGCGCGCTCCAAGAGATCACCGGTGTATGGCGGACGACTCTTGCCTCTACCTAGTCCATCCACATCATCGTCGACTCTTCTTCTTCTGCTACGACACGGCGACTATTGCGAAACAACAACAACAACAACAACTGCAGCACTAGCAGTAGAAGCAGCGGTGACGTCTTCTTGGACTCCTCTTCTTCAGCGTACCTAAAGAGAGAGCTCGCTGACCGTGCAGAAAGAAGTGAGTGACTTGGTTCGCGGCTCGCGAACGTTCGACCAATAGCACGTTTTCCCCACGAGAATACTCAGGCCAAGACGCCGCAAATGGTCTTAGAAGCTTTAGTCTTACTGAAGACTTTGAGTGAGTAGCAGTTAGTGGTATAAGTTGTCGACACAAAAGTGGAGGCCTAGGAGACTTGAAGGCCTTGGCAGCACTCCGCCATGGCGACAGGTAAGTCCACGAGACCGCTTTCCATATGGCGCGCTCCCGCTCCGACAAACTCCTCTAGCTCCTCTGTTTTCCCGAATGTCGTGCGCGCGTATGTCCCGCGAGTGCTGGACAATGCTCATCCCTCAGTGATAATGTGTGCCAATTCGTGACATTCACGGAATTTAAGGTCAGGAACTTGTTACCTCGGTTTAACTATAATTGTACCTACTTTAGAACGTTCCAAACGCCATCGATTGAAACTGAACTGACTCGTTTCGCTAAAAATATCAGTTACGCGGCTTTCTGATCTGTGGACTGTAAAGGCGTTGTGCAAGACGCAAGAGAGACGTGAAACCGCTCCAGTACAACGGTGAAGGGAAATCGAACTGACCAAGTTTGGAATCGAAACTATGTACCTATGACTGGAAGAAAAAACGAATAAAAACCGTTTCGAAACGACCGAATAACGAATATTGATTAGTGATCGCGATTCCTTTTTCGTATATCCTTTTCCTTTCCGACTTTTTCCTTAATATCTAACTGTTCCCGGACATGCCATCCGAGTAGAATAATTAATAGTTTCAAAGAGAAGGAGTTGTTGCAGCCAACAACGCGGAATGCGTTCATTTCCCTTTTCGAGCAATTAAAAAGTGCATGCATTAAACTAAAAATTACTCCAAAACGTCCGTAATTAGTTCGCTGAAACAGTATTAGCCACACGCAACCGTGAAAGCATCATTTACTGCTCGGGGTTCGTCGCTTAGTCGCGCATTGGCATCTCCAACCTAATTGCTCATTAACGACGGCGTTTTGCAATAAAAAAACTTTTTAATCGCTTAATGTAAATTATGAATGTCATGCAACGTTATCGATACCTAACAAAAACAATGCAATTGCACAAGAAACTAGAACCGATTTTGTATTTAAACGACAAGTCGATAGAACGAGTACCTAGTTTTTAAACTTCTGAAGGTTTATTTCGAAAACTGTCATTTAATGTTATAATTAGCTTAATTTTTATCTATTTTTTCTAACATGTGTGCGGTTTTACGTGGTTACAAAACATTTTTTTCTGTCTGTTTCCACAAGGTCGTTCTGCCTTCGTAATCATCTGATGTGTTATTCAATAGAATAATAAACTTAATGGGACTATTTATGAAGTTAGGAACAAATGTTATTCCAAATGCTTTAATTTTACAGAATTTTCGTAGGTAAATCTGACGTATGAAGGCACTTCTTTTTAAAATAATTTGAACTCAAATTAGTTCGCTTATACAAGCCGAATACAATAATTTGTCATTACTTACAATTAACCTCAAATACCATTGTAATTACACTCAAAATAATGGGACAAACAATTAAACGTTTTTCACTTTTACCGATACGGAAACATAGTTGGAACTATAATAAAGAACTTGATGATGTAGTAAAGGTAACTAAAGAATGCTATTATTTCAAATTCATTATCCGTCATCTATCCATTAATTTCAAGTTGTTTGTAGGATATAATTAAAAGGTTTCGAAACGACGGAAATGCGGTTTTAATTTGGAAAAACTACTTTTAAAGAAGCCGTCCGTCTTTAACTAATCGTGCTGGTTTGTATCTTTTTGATGACTAGATTATGAAGATCAAAGTTTTACTAAAGTGGCAAAATCTTTGAATGGTAGACCCGAAGTTAACTGACACATCTGAAGAAGTATTAGATTTTTCGAGAATTATCTCCCTGTAATGCTATCTTTAATTTATCAATTACAATTTTAAAGAAACAAATTATTCTTATTTAACAAAAAGCAATGTACAATAGATCTGGCAATACGATAATACTACAAAATCTTCCCAAAGATCTGCTTGCACATACTTTTCCAGTTTATTTCCTAACAAAAGTCACTTTAGAATCAGCAACAACATAAACCAAGTCGAACAAAGGCGTGTACATACACATAAGTAGTACCTTTACATGTACATACACATTGCCAAGTCCACTAAAAACCAGACATTCAACGTCACAATGTACTTTCTCTTGTGTAGGCGCTAACCCTGCTAAAGACCAACATATGGTTTTAAATTGGTTCATTTGACGGTCTAGTTTTTCCATACGGATTTGTTACTTTCGTCCTTACGAAAGTAATTTGAAAAACAGTTCAAACTGATTCACAAAACATTAGAATAGAATTTTAGACCTGACCTTTAACGTTTTTAGTTCAATTTGCGGTGTATTGTGAAATTTCATAAGAGACCTTCATGTAGAAAACCCACGTGTTTTCTTTTATCGAGTTTCATCGTTCCAAAAACTTTAACTGGCACGACCACTGTATGGTGTATATTGAAATTTTAATGAAAACCTAAAATTTTCATTTGGTATATTTACATGATGTAGGCTGAAGAGATTTGTGGGCATCATACATACTAACATTCATTGTAAAGTATGCCTTATGTGTCTGGAAAATTGCACAATATTTGTTCGAAGCCATCCACGGTTACTGAAGTTGATTATGCAAAATATGAGTAATTTTCTTCGACGTGTGTAGTGTGCAGCCCCACTTGGAAATCAAATAATCAAAATGAACTCGTTCCTTCACCTGATCCTACCGTAACTACCACTAAAAGACTGATGAAAACAAATCATTAACTCATCAAGAGATGAATGTTCAGAAAAACTAAATCGTTTGTAGCATTAATCAAAACTAAATGCTTAATAGAAAAGCAGATTATTGTCTATTGTATTTGCTTGGTATTTTCAAGGAATGGAGTCGATAAACCCGAAATCTTAACAACTTCGGACTTGCAACTGAAATACATATCTCCGAGAATACGATAAATTATGTTTAAAAATTGATGAAAAACAAATCTATATTAATGGAGTCAATTTTTTATTTTATTTTTTGATATAATAATGGACTTTTCAAAAATAGTAATTTATTTCTCATCACTTTATTCATCAGAATCCCCTTAAACCGCTTTCGTATTTAATTATTAAATACATTAATGTTTGTTTTCTCAAAACTAGCTCGTAATGTATTTCCGATACCTTTTTAAATGTTACGTAAAATTCCTATGAATAATTTGCGTATAAATCAGAATTGTTAGCGATGATAAAACTTTTTTCCAACTTTCGCTGCTTTGGGGAACAATAATTTAATTTAATTTATTGCCTTCGTTTTATGAAAGTTTTTAAACAGGTGTTAAACGAATCCTAAAGATAATTAAATAAACTAAACACATAATGTTTTCTTTCACAAATCTATTAGGTAACCCTTTACGAAAATTGGAATACAAAAGATATGTTATAATAGAAATCATAGTGTGTAATGTAGATATGTAAGGATGATATAATTATCGAATTACCAATTACATTACATTAGAATAAAAATTATCCTTAACTTCAAGCAAAATACATAGTTTCTTTTATAATAATTTATGCTTACATATATATTATTAACCGTTACTTTTCTATCTTCAAGCATTTTTAATGGATTTGGCAAAACGTATTGTGCAGGAAGAAAAAAAATATGCGATCACTAATAAATAGTGTTATTAATAATGTACACGAAGTTTCGGGTGATAAATAAAGTTGTGTAAACACGTTGCTTATCCTCAAAGGCACGCGATGAACATTAAAAAAGTTTCTCTCATAGCAACCGAGTAAAAAGTTGGGCGAATATGTTAACGGATTTCGCCTTTTTTAGACGAGTGTGGGCGCATAGCTGCCTCCACGTAGTCGCATAACATTTACCATACGAGTTATTAGTTGCAAGGACAGATACCAACTTTTGTCATCCGTAGTCGTTAAGCGGTAAATTATTTATTTATTTGTTATGAGACTTCTATTAAAAACCAAAATCAAACGATGCCATCGTTATTTATGGAATGTGAAATACATTGGAAGACCAAGAGGAATTTCTAAAGTTGGTCTTCGTAAAATCAAAACGCACTCTGATTAACCGANAAAACATGGAAGACACTTAGGATTATAATTTTGGCGAATCATCTTGTATAGATACATGTTTATAAATAAATCTTTTTTTTTTCCCAAATATTTTAGGTCAACGACCATTCTAACAAACGCTTTATGCTTTACGTGTCAAATTAATTATTCGAAATTAATATAAACGATTTTTCATAAATAAAGATTTCTCAAATTGATTTCATGCCTGCTCTGTTATAAATCCTTTTCAGAAAAAAGTTTCGAACTCCATTAGCTAGAGAGTCCATTGTCCTTAACATAAGCATAAGTGATGATATCTTTTACTGATTAACTGTTGAAAATGACGAAAACATTAACAGTGGGTACATGTTTATTTCAACGATGTGCACAGTAACAATTCGAGGAATTCTTTAGTTTGAATATCATGTAGTGAATGAAGGTGATATACAAATTTTATCACATTTAAAAATTAACCTTGGAAACTACGTGTTTTAAAAAAAAATAAATTTCAAATCTTTCGAAATATTTATAAGGAACATAGAAAAACAGAAGGCGCTAAGAAAACCAATAAGAAATAGGTACGATGGGTTGGTAGGACACCTCAGGAATGCAAGGCTAGTTAGAGACTCATTGGGAGTAAAAACAGGACTTAAGAGTAGATGCAGAACTCGATTAGATTACTATTTACAAAAAGTTAAGGATATGGATGGTTCTAGTTTGAGGGAAGATTACTTCAGCGAAGATTGGTGTGTTCAACTAGTCTGAGGACTTAATTTTATGACGAAGATGATATTGCTAATTGTGAAATGGATTTAAATTAATAATAAAAGAAGTTCGTCGTTGTTGGAAGCATTTATTTGGAATGATTGTTCATTCGAGTGATGCCCTTTGGGCACCTTAAACCGTTAAGCAACACCTGAGAAATTAATGTTTTGTTCGTTCTGTGAACTTGGCAGTAAGAGACGATGTAAAACCGGCAATTTTTCATTTGACCGAACGTAAAGTTAAAATTGATAGGTTTCAACGAACCGATTTCTGATGAGTCCACTTATCGATGTGTAGCGAGGTATTCGAAAATAATTAATCAAGTTCACT